GATGGGTTCAAGCTACAAACCTATCAGAACCAATTCAGGAACAAGACATTTTACAGGTGATTTCAAACCTTAAAACTAAAACAAGTCCTGGCCTGATGGTTTTATTAATGATAAAGACTTTAAGGAAAAAGTCGCCCCCTTATTACTAAAAGCTTACCCCTGCGCTCTGCGCAGAAGGAAATTGGGTTAAGGCTGCTGACCTTTGCAAGCGCCATCTTACCCTTTCGACCATACATACCTGTACATGACACAAACATCACACGGGGTAGACAGGTCAGAGAGGTATAACTATGGAAAATGCACCACATGAGGAAAGACGAGGAGAAAAAAGAACTCCGCCCAGACTGAGCTGGGAAAAACCACCTCAGCACGTGGCTAAACACTGAGAAGACAATATGATCATTGGAATCCCTGCTTTTCTCTAACATTTCACTTAAGATGTGCATATGGGGGAATGGACAAGGGTCACACTAAAGATTTGGCGTAGAATCAAACAAACATTTGGTCCAAAAGAAATTTTAATTGTATCAAGCCTTTCCAACCTGCAGGGTTTTTGTCCTATTATGGAAGACCCTGGCTTCAGAGCATGGTCAAATACCGGGCTTCATAAACTTTGTCATGTTGTGAGGAATGGGCACCTGAGTTCAACAGCTGAAAGGTCAGTTTCTACAGAGCCCCTCTGATGACATGGTCCAAAAAATAAATAAATTGTGCCCACAAAATACTATTTCGTGGGCACGAAACACTTGACCGATAACCGTGATCCTTCCCAGGCCCTTGCAGTTGGTTGACAATAAAATCTATCCCAGCGTCCAGGTCGTGCTTACGTCTGTAAGCTGGGCTTGCAGTATCCTGTTTTAACGTCTCTCCGTAATAATGGTTCCTTGCATTGCAGGCTTTTCAAAATGTATTTGTAGCTCATTCCCAGCCTAAAATAAAAGTCAATCATACCGTCTCTGCCCACGGTGTGTAGGTTTAGCCTACTCTCATGCTTATGTCTCTACGCAGCTGTCCAGGATTGTATCAATATGATGTGCGCACGTTATCTATTTTGTTGCCACAAATGCAGAATTCGTTGCCACGTTTTACCCAATTCGTGCCCACAAATGAGCATTTCGTGCGCATGTTATACTATTTCGAGTGCACGAAGTAGTATTTTGTGGCCACAATTTATTTATTTTTTGGACCATGTCATCAGAGGGGCTCCGGAAGTTTCAGCTTCCTTCTTCTGACGTTTTTTAGATTTTTGCAGCTAAGAAGTTTTTTGACAAAACATAAAGAATGGAAGCAAGTTTGGAGCCCTCACCCATCGAGGAAATATCTCTAAAAATATTTCACAGTAATTCCTCCCCAAAATTGATTAGTAATTTCTATCATGCATTTATGAGTTTTAATACAAGTGCAACTTTGGATATTAAGGCCAGGTGGGAAGCTGAGCTTGGCACTCAAATCTCAGAGGAGACTTGGGAAGAAGAGTTCAGTGAGGCCCATCTGGTGACTAATTCTGGGCTGTGGAGAGAATTTAAAGGGAAGGTGGTCATGAGATATTTTAGACCCCCCAGAGATCGTTGCTAAAATGAACCAACTCCTGACACTTGTTGGCGAAATTGTGGTACTCACTTAGGAACCCATTCACACATATTCTGGTCATGTCCATTGGCTCCGTTTGGAAGGACATATTTAAAGCTCTCAATAGTTTCCCAACAACCGTTAACAAAAGACCAACAGTTAGCCATGTTAGGGGTACTACCAAATGGTTTTACAGGAAACAATAAAGAGTATCTCTTGAGAATCTTGCTTACAGCAGCACTAAAGTGTATCATCATTAAATGGTTAAATCTTGATTGATAAAATAAGAGAGATTTATCAGATGGAGGGAATAACACATGCCCTGCAGATGCAGAGAGGATTGTTCAGTGATGACCCATACATGCTTATTGTTTCAATAATCCAGCAGAGGTTCACCCTGTTCATTTATTGCTACTAAGATTGCCACGTCTTATTAATATTATGTGAAGTTTTTTTAAATTTAACTTCTACATTGCTGCCCTGTTCCTGTATCTGTTCAACTTGTGAACATTGACAAGTATAAGTTGCAAGGTTGTAAATTATAATAGAAAATGGATTTTAAAAAAAGCTGAATGACAGCAGGAGCTCTGTTCCAGCACGCTTTGGCTGAGCAGCCAAGCCGTAGACTGATATTAGTGTGTGGTTAAACATGTGCTCACCTGTACAGCCTGATCTTGCTCCCTGCTAGTGGACTGGAGCAAGACGGTCAGATCATGCAGCTGCTGCTCTCTCTCCATCAGCTCAGCTTTAGCCTGACACATGAAAACTGTGTTACATTCATAAAACATCCTGGGCTTTGAAACCAGCAGCTCTCCTCTGTCAGTGTGCTGAAACTGAAACAGGTCACTGTTGAGGGGGGGTGGGGGCCACCCGAGCCTGCTGCCATTAGCAGTAGGGATTGGTACCAAAGTACCATCAGGGTGTACACCCCACCCCTGGCGTCGTTGCCCACCTCTCAATTTTAAATACACGTAGACATTGAGGGCTAGCAGGAGGGACCATGCGCTTACCTGCTGCTCTCTGGCAGGTAGCTCCAAGCCCTCCTGGGTTTAAATGCACCTTAGA